TATCAGCAAGAATTGAGAGCTGCATCTGAGGGCAATAAATAGAATAAATCATTTGGGGCAAATTCTCCTGTAAGACAGGTCAGTGTTTTCAAGTGCAGGCGCTAAAGGCAGGAGCTCAGGCTCCCGTCTGCAACGCAGCTCCAAGGTGCGACTGCCGCTCACGTAAACATACCCAGACCGACTTTAATCCAACGAGCCTGGGTACCGACAGCAGAGCAGCGGTGTCAGCGGGAAGCGACTGCCCCGCGAACTGGATGCCTCGCTCGTGAGGTTAATTCTGTTGCCAGTAAAGCTGCTAGAAACAATGATGTAGGCCTAGAGCGAACCTGGTCCCCCAAGCAGCCCTGCACAGCGTCTGCCTTCTCACCTGTTCTTGTTTTCCAGTTCGGCTATCAGCTGCCTTTGTTGTTTGTTGGCATCAAAATTGAATCCCAAGTCTGTCGGTGGACGAGGCTACGGGATAAAAAAAAACACGATGCATAAGCGACGTATTTCCTTGCTTCATAACAGGGTACAGAAGTGCCGGGGTACTGTTAGCTTGTGAAGAGACAGAACGATATCCTTTAGTGTAGGGACGTATGGCAAGTAATGAATACAAGTTAGTTTATTAGCAAAGAAAGATTGACGTGGAACAAGAACATGGTAATCGAACACTTTTGCTGGTTAAAATGTTCTGTGCTCCTGCAAGCCCTAACCCTAACCCCACAGCCCCTTTTCCCCTGCCCGGGCCTGCGGCAGTTTCATTCAGCTGAGAAAAAATGTCCAGGCATTTGAATGCGTGTGTTGCGGAAAGTCTTGAAAGTCTCTCAAGTATAATCCAACATGAATCTTTTATATAAAAAGTGTGTGTCTTTTAGGTCCCAATTCACGCAAAAAAGTATACAGGGGCTTAACACTATACCCGATGAGTAGTCCCATTAAAATGAATGCAATTCTACACTGAGCGTAAAGTCAGCGTGCATTTGTCTTTGTAAGAGCAAACCCTTACATTGCAGAAGTTGATGTTTCCAGAGCAATGGACTGAACAGGATGAGACTCAGGAAAGGTAAGGAACAACGCTGGCTGAGACGGTCCTGAGCAGCAGGGAGAAAGCTTTGGAAACGCTGCCGCCCTGCTAAGTCTCAGGGGTGTTGGTCTAAGGACACAGGCAGACATGGCTCTTTGGGTAAATCTGATATCTTTTATTAGACCAACTCAATAAAAGATATCAGATTTACCCAGAGAGCCTTGTCTGCCGCCCTGCTAGTGCGCCGACTGGTCCTAGACGAGATGCGGCACCGGGTGCCATCTCAGCACAAAAAAGTCGCAATCCTGGTACTATCAAAACCAGCACAGTGCTCATCCAGTGGATTAAAAGTGGATAATTTATATCTCTCGTGTTACTGGGAAATCCTCAACTAATGCAGGGTGTAGTTGGTGGGAGAGCTTCAGAGATCAGACCACAAGCCAACTCTATTTAACACTTTTATCAGTGATCTGGAAATATGAAATCGTTGCGCTACCTACACATTTTACCAGTAAAGCCTGATGGAGTGGTAAATAATGGCAATCCATTTATACGGGGTGATCCAGATTGCTGATATGTTGGGGGCAGACAGCATGCATTTCAGCAGAGACAAAAGCATCGCCGTTTAAGAACGAGAAACAGAAGTCATAGTGAAGAGGGCTGTAAACTATGAACGGTCAAGAGGACATGCCCGCCCAGCGTGGTGTGGTGGCTCAAAGAGCTAGAGGAATAATACCTGGATGTATAAGCAAGATTATCAAATGGAAAGAGAGGCGGTTTTACCTCTGTTTCTACTGTTGGTTAGACGGCCTCTGGAGTGCCATGCATGCACCCCCGCCTGCGCTTTAAAAAGGATGTTGAAAACCTGGAGGAGTTCAGCCAAGGTCGACAAGAATAATATGTGATCTAGCAAGTGCAGAGCATGGGATTTCAGGTGCGGTGGACACACAGCTATGCAGGCAATGTCAGGAATGTGGTACGTGACCTGGCTGCTCAGACAGATTATGTACCTAGACCGGGATTTGTGCAATGTTTCTGGTGGGACCACGGCCGCGAAGGCAGCGGTCACAGCTCTCATGCAGCCTCAGTCCTTGGCCTGGATCTTCCAGCACCTGTTCATCCCCCTGCCCGCAAGCCTGCCTCCGGCCCGCTCCCACGGGAAGATCTCCCGGCACGTCCAGGAGCAGGAGCAGGAGCAGGAGCCAGCCGCTGCCCTGCGAGCGCTCCTCGTGCCCTGCGGACCGCTGCCGTCCCGTGCGCCGGGCATTACAAATCAGGACATCCACTTTCTGCAGGGGGGCTGTGGCTTCCCGGCAGCACTCGGGGCTGAAGTCTCCTCGTTAGCAGCCCTTCCAGGGCAGACCGCGCCTGGTCTGCACACGGGGAAGGACGTGAGAGCTCGCCTCCTTGCCCCGTGCCAGCGTGCAGGGCCCAGCAAACAGCCTTTGTGCTTCCCTAACCCCCAAAGAGGAGGGGGTGCAAGCAGGGCCACGGCACCAAGCCCCCCTTGCACGAGCCAGATGCCCTCCCCGAAAGAGTCCGCGCCGGCAGCTCCCTGACGCCAAACGCCGCTTGCTTTTCCCGCTGAGGCACATGGACCTCTGCGCTGCCCGGCCGTGTCGATGAAACACTATCCAGCCCTAATCTCTATCCTCAGAAATCCTTCCGAGCCTGCAGCCGTCCTGGCGCCCACAGCAGCTCTGCGCAGGACGACACTTCCCCAGGAAGGCCGCGCGGTCAGCCCAATGCCCGTTACACGAACGCCGGTCTGCGCTCTGCCCGAGCACGCGCGAGCCCCGCGTGCCGCTCACCCTCCCTGCTCAGGCGGCGTGGAAGAATTTTTGGCAGCAGCCCGGTGGATCCTTTGCACGACTGTTTTATTCAGGCTATTTTAACACGGCTTTGTTGCTTCTCAGCTGACTTGGCGACACAGCCCGCGTCAGCATCTGCAGACTTGGTTTCCTCCTGGATCCATTTCACTCAAACTGGTTACCCATCCCTCGTGCGGACAAATGAGATTTGGTGCCATTCGTCATCCAAATCTTTCCCCCGGTTCTTTGAATTGATGTTGTACGTTTTTTCCTTTAGCCACAGACCCTGCAACAGGGACTTTACATTTTAATAAGCAGTAGGACAAACTACTTACACGCTCTATATTTATGGGCACGGACACCAGAGGGCATGGAAATGGTTTCTGGATTGATGAAGCGCTGGTCTATAAAAACAGTGCAAGCATTAATGCATGCACTAATCTCTCATGGAAAACAGCGAGGATGAAGCCAAGCCCGTTCGTTTCCTTAACAAATAAACAGTAATGACTGATCATCATACGTTCCTAGCTGGTTGACAGGTTAGAGAGCTAGTGTTTCGGTCTAAAGGCCCGCGGGCCCGATCCGTCCCGTGGAGCCGGCAG